TTGTAGCAATTGTTAACAACAAATCTTTATAATAACATATTAAATAGCATAAGATATAAAAGGAATGGATGTATATCGTTTTGCGTTTCCTAATTAATTGTTACACTTTCCTACCTTTCCTAACAAAACTTTTGTTCGAAGGGTATACAATTGGTTACTGTTGTGTTGTTTCATTGGCAAGTATATTGGAGTAGTGTTTTTTATTTTTCATATTGTTTCTTAAAAAATTCTCTAGTGACCTCACGTGTAAAAGTGTTTGCGGTGTAGTTTGGTTTGGATTTTAATATTTTTTAAATCAATTCAATTTACTATTATATGATAACCAAACCTATCCAATTTAAATTGGATCGGTGTGGTTTGGTCGGATTGATCGGTTTTTAACATTATTAAATATATAAGATAATGTAAAAATATTTTAACAACAAATAGAAAACATAATCATAAAACATATTAACATGTAAATCAATAAAAACATAATAAAAAGTACAAATTATAAACGAGTTTTTATACTCCTTTACATTTGTAAAAATTAAAAAAATCTAAAAATTCTTCTTAGTTACATCACTAGAGGCACCAAAAACAATAAAAGATAATTTCAAATTTTCAATACAGTGTAAATAATTCTTAAAGATTAAAATTAGTTGTTTTTTTTAATACACTAATAATTTAATCTCATCTTTTAAATCTTGTTAAAAGTGAATAAAATTTAATATAAATATCACTAAAATTGATTAGAAGTATTCATAATCAAAATTTAAGACTTCTAAACCAAATATCCAAGAATAGTAGAATATCAAGACTAATTTTATTATATAGTTTTGAGATTTTTAGAATGATACTTATTTAAAACTTAGTTAGGAGAATCATAAGATTATTTTAAGAATAAATTAGAAATTTAGAATTCTAATAGTAAAAGCGTAAACCAAGATGAAGGGATAGAGTTACAAATGAGTTAGAAATTTAGAATTAGGGTTAGAGTGGATGATTAAAATGGAAAATTAATTTAGGGAATATGGAGATGTTTTATTTTTATTTTTATTTTTTAATTAAGTTAATGGAGTTATTATTTTGTAAAAAAGAAAAAGAAAAAAGCTTTGTACTAGAAGAATTTAAATTCATCGAACGTGACATGTGAGATGCGAGGGTTTTTCGA